GGCTATTCTTGCTTTGTTAATTTAAGTACAGATGTCTCTGTGTATAATTTTAGAAAAAACAAATGTTTTTGTTTAATAATAATTGACTTGCATTTGCAATTGAAGGCATTGAATATTGTTTGTGTGAGAAATTGTGGTATCTGTCAAATTGAAGGTGTATTGGATTTGGTTTTGTGTGTGAGAATGGCTAGTTTAATTAGTAGACTGACATGAGGCGTGGGGTCACGTAGATTTCCTATGAGTCAACCGCCAGGGAATCGATTTAGTATAGTCTAATCTAGTTTCAATGGAAACCTCGTACCGTCTTTTGTTTTCTTAAATAGCAAATAGCAAAGAGCAATTCGTGTCTATTTATTGGTCGTTAGTAATAATAATAATGATTCTCAATCTATGAATTCTTATTTATTATATACAAAAAAATTTTTTATTTTTTCNATTTTTTAGTTTAAGTTTGAAGAACTGAGCGAAGTTTTGATAAGAAAATCTGTTTTTTATAACCAATTCGATGCGACGAAACGATGAAGAAATGAGAAGAGTGTGGTTTTGTGTAGACATGATTTTTGAGTTGATCAAACCTAAAAATCTGAGCGAAGTTTTGATAAGAAAATCTGTTTCTACAATCAATTCGAGATAAAGAAACGATAAAGAAAATGCGAAGAACATCGATTTGTGTGAAGATACACGATTTTTTAGTTGAAGTCTGAAGAACTGAACGAAGTTTTAGTTTTTGAGTTGATCAAACCTAAAGAGCTGAGCTGAGTTTTGATACGAAAATCTTCTTTTATTAATTCGAGATGAAGGAACGAGGAATAAAATGAGAAGAATGTGGTTTTGTATGAAGAGACACGGTTTTTTTGTTGAAGTCTGAAGAACTGGCGAAGTTTTGGTTTTTGAGTTGATCAAACCTAAAGAGCTGAGCTGAGTTTTGATAAGAAGATCTTCTTTTATAATCGATTCGAGATGAAGAAACGTGAAGAGTATGGTTTTGTGTGAAGAGATAACGTTTTTTACTTGAAACCTGAAGAGTTGAGCGGAATTTTGATAAGAAAATCTTCTTTTATAATCAATTCAAGATGAAGAAATGTGAAGAATGTAATTTCGTGTGAAGAGAAACGATTTTTGAGTTGATCAAACCCGACGAACCGAGCAGAGTTTTGATAAGACCGAAAATAGCGTGAATGGCAGTAATGAAACGTTGATTTCGCGAGTAGGCAGAAGCGTAAACAGAAGAGTGGGAACGTCGGACGATCGTATGGGCGTATGGCAGGGATGAATGGGCAACATCCGGCTTTCTGAATCACCGAGATATTCTTGAGGAGCGCGTAAGACACGACCGTCGCCGTCTAGCCGATCGGATATTGTCTTAACCGATGAACAATAATCGATAAACTCGAGTGACTTTCGACTCGTATTTTCCACGATGCTGCAAGATAAATAAAGACCGGGTCGATCCGTTATGAGGCTCGAAGGAGGGAAGCTCGAGCCCCGAATGGGACTTTACGGCGAGGGCACCAGCATGAAGCAGTGTTACGACGCCGTCTTGGCTCACGGTAATTCGAGCACACGATACATAAACGATTCTCTTTGTCAGAAACTTTCGTTTCACGACGCGGCCAATGATTCATCGGCAGTACGTCAGAGAGCGTTTCTTTAAACAATGTTGAACACCGTGACGGGTATCCGTGACCCACAAAACCTGACGAGATACACTTGTTTTCTTGGTCTAATTATAAATACACTTCGTGATGAGGAGGGTAATTAATTGTTAAACTGCACACGTTTAGGCGAAATAAATTA